GATGATCAAATTATACAACGAATCAGAGACGCAAGCAAAGAGTGTGACAGGATAGGGGAACTGATGAACGCAACCTTGAACCCGATATCAGCCAAGACGAAAGCAGCTTTGAAGCATTACAAAGTACAAGATGGTATCCTCTACAACCAAGGTAGAATAGAGGTACCTGACGTCGACGACATCAAATACTCAATACTAAGAAGCAGACACGACTCATTGCTTGCGGGCCACCCAGGTCGAGCAAAGACTCTCGGATTGGTCAGGAGAAGCTTCATCTGGCCATCTCAGAAAGCGTACGTCAACAGGTACGTGGACGGTTGTGACTCTTGTCTAAGGGTTAAATCAACCACACAGAAACCCTTTGGGACTCTGGAGCCATTACCGATACCGGCTGGCCCGTGGACGGATATCTCATATGACCTTATCACCGGCCTCCCTGCATCAAACGGCTACGACAGCATATTAACCGTGGTGGATAGATTAACGAAAATGAGTCATTTCATTGCTTGTACTGAATCAATGTCGGCTGAAGACCTAGCAGATCTCATGATGAAGAACGTATGGAAGCTTCATGGAACTCCCAAGACAATAATCTCAGATAGGGGTAGTATTTTCATTTCACAGATCACGGAAGAAATTGACAAACGCCTAGGTATACGCCTTCACCCGTCAACCGCTTTCCACCCACGTACAGACGGTCAAAGCGAGATCGTCAATAAAGTAATCGAACAATATTTACGACATTTCGTTAAATATCGACAAGACGATTGGGAAAGTCTACTGCCCACAGCTGAGTTCTCGTATAACAACAAAGACCATGAATCCACGGGCATTTCACCGTTTAAAGCTAACTATGGATTTAACCCATCATTCAACAAAGTACCATCAGCTGAACAGTGTGTGCCAGCAGTAGAGAAGAGGATGCAAACACTCGCCGAAGTGCAATCTGAATTAAATCAATGTTTAGAATTAACTCAAGAGAAGATGAAAGAACAATTTGACAAAAGAGTACAACAAACACCAAGATGGGAAGTAGGAGACCAAGTCTGGTTGAACGGACGAAACATTTCGACAACTAGGCCAAGCCCAAAATTAGAAAATAGATGGCTAGGTCCTTTCTTCATTATCCAAAAGATATCAAATTCTACTTATAAATTGAATCTCCCTCTTTCCATGAAAAGCGTCCATCCTGTATTTCATGTCTCTGTACTCAGGAAACATAACCCGGATACAATACATCAACGAAAACAACCCCCAGTCGAACCAATCATAATACAGGATGAAGAAGAATGGGAAGTCAACGAGATACTAGATTGTAGAAGAAGGTACAACAAGAAGGAATACTTTGTGAGTTGGAAAGGATTTGGCAAGGAAAACAATTCATGGGAACCCGAAATCAACCTCAAGAATAGTCAAGATTTAGTTAATGAGTTTAATTTAAAATATCCCGACGCAACAAATAAGTACAAAAGGAGAAGGCTGAAGAAGTGAGAGGGCTATGCTTTTTCCCACTGGGTTTTTTAACGCAGCCCGTGGAAAGAATGCAGAGCTTGCAAGAGGAAGCTTGGGCATTAAAGGGGGGATAATGTTATGAACTGGTTCTATTTCACTTGAGTGACATATTCACATTACATGTCACAAGCTCGAGAACCATCTTATAGTTGTAGATACATTGCCTGTACAGATTTTCCCTCATCCGACAATCCACATAGGAAGACTGGTAATAGATACAAATCCTCACCAGAACTCCCTTGACCCTCGTCGCCGAAAACCCCCAAGTCTGTCCATAACAGTTTAGAGAGGAGAGTATATAAACCTCCCCTCTCTCAGCCTTCAAGCAGGATCCCCCAAGCATTTTATTAAACACCTCTTTTCAAGAACCCTTTAAAGTTCATTTGAAGTACATAATCAAAAGTCTTATAATTATAAGACTAGTGATTCACTTCATATCTTTAAAGTAGTTTCCTGACTAAAAGATAAAGTAGTTTCATTCTTCATTCCTTGGGTCCCCTACTTTCCCTAAGTAGACTCTTTAGAGGTTAGTGACACCGCGGGAATCATTGAGTTAAAAACCCGATTGAGCAGAATTGCAGTGTCCGAGTCCGCAACTTGTCTCAATCAAGGATCTAGTTCACATTACGTTCACAATACGTTCACAAGTTGCCCTTGAGCTGTAATCACGTGGGACCGGTCAGGCTTCAGCCTTTGCCATCATCCTGACTCCATTGGATTTAAGGATGCCACAGTCATCAAATCTGGATTTGCCAAACATTCTTGAAGGCATGTCTATGGCAAGCGTAAATAGAGAGGACAGGGAATGTACTATGAAAGACACTTGTCAGTCTGGAAGGGGCCTTTGTATGTCTCATGACAAAGGGTTATCAGAGAAACCCAAGGGAAACTTGTGAACGTATTGTCAACATAATGTGAACTAGATCCGCAATTGAGACAAGTTGCGGACTTGGACACCACAATTCTGCTCAATCGGGGTTTGAACTCAATGATTCCCATGGTGTGACCTATATCAACTCACAGGTTAGTGTACAATTGAACAACTGCAAGTTGGTGACTTTAGAACAACTAGACTGGTGACCTATACCTCACTCTTTAATCTGTTACCATAAAGATTGAAGGAGGGCCTTGGATCCAGCCTTCTTACTTGATAATAATTGTCAATTATATTACAAACCTCCTTTTAAGGAGTCATCGAACTGTAGTCTGTCTGGATTTATTCAAACAGACTATTAGTCTTTCACTTTTTCTTCTTTATTTCAATTTGTAAATACAGCTATTTTGTTATACGTTGGACATCAAGAAAAAAGAAAGTTTTTTGCTACCCTAGAAAAGATTAAACCTCAAAATTCACCACTGAAAGATACAGTGTTTTCTGTGTTAAATCCGGTCAAAAACACGAGCTGTAACTTTTTCCATTTTTTCTTGAGGTCCAACATATAAGGAAATAGCTGTACTACTTATTTGAAATAAAGAATAGAATTTCCTCATTACAATAAACATTTTCCAAATTTAGTGAGCATAGAGTACTCTTTTGAATACCCTACCCTCACAAAACCTGTCAAAAGCTCACACCAAACATGGTGAAATGTTACACAAAAACCAATTCTTCAAGTCTGTTTTTGAGGGCTTTCCTGGAGGCAAGGGACCCTGGAGACAAGGGAGGGATTTGAAAAAACATGTGTGTGTAGGATGATCAGGCGCAGAGGACTTTTCTTTGCTCCAGAGAATATTTGTATACAGGCTATGGAAATATGGAGGATTGAAAAAGTGCCCAGCCAAACTTTTCCAGCTCATACACCAAAGTTTTGATATAAGGTATAAGTCCCTCTCTTGATTACTTGTTTGTCCAAGAGGGACTTATTTGAGTAAGATCTTATCTCCGGTTCAAGACTCCACAACTTTGTGTAATCAGATTATCATTTTTCATACTTATGTGTTTTGTTTTGTGTTTTACTCACAATAGGTAGATGACAACTATGTAGAATCAGATTATCATTTATAATACAGTAGATTCCATCTGTTATTCTACGCAAAGAATAGAACCTTTGCTAAAACCACATGTTTCTCCAATGTATCTTGTGAACTGATTTAACCTCAAAGGTTAGTCATCAGGTGTTGTGACGGAAGTGCTTGATGCTCACTTCCAGGTTTTGTCATGAGAAAACTTAGGTGTATCACAACTAGAGGAATTCATTGCTTTTCAGTACTTTGCTACAATATGGCTTGTATTAGTAAGCATAATCTGACATCAATTCCATGGCTTTGTTGATCATCAAAGTATTTGTTTGGTGCCAGGGTTGATTGTATCAATCAATAACATGGGGAAGCAAGATACAGATCAATATATGGAGCAAGACAAAATATAACAAATATTTTTTATTTTTGCTTGCACAGAGGGGAATCCCTTAGCTATATGAACATTTAGGGCATTGGCTGTGGATGCTCTATAACCCAGTTTTGAGACGCAATTATGATTGAACGTGAAAACAGGGTCATTTTAGCAATGAGAAAGCCGGGAATTTTGCGCCCCGTTGCTTTAAAAAAAGATGTTCAACACCCCCATGCTGTCAAGGAGTGAAATACAGTCGACTCCCTTGAAATCCATATCCCTCTAATCCCATACTTCCAGCTAACCCATAGAAATTTGGGTCCATAAAATTTATGGGCAGGGAAAAGTGGCCCAAAACCCATACCTCGCACTATTCCCATGACCCATAGGTTTTTTGCAGTAAACCTAGGTCAAAAGCCATAACCAAAATTTGCCACAGCTTGAAAAAAACCTGCATCCTTGTGTATTTTTCAGCATAGCCAGTCTCAAAATGCTTCCAAAAGACCTTTTGCAATTCAGCATGTCAGATATCAAAACAGGTTTCAATGCCCTACAAACAGAGAATAACAAAAGATTCAAGCCTCTCAAGCAACCTATCAGTGGAGGGAAGAAATTGTTGTAGACAGATACAAGGCTCATAGACTGTGCTGGAAAGGTAAAGAGTTGTTTTGGGGAAGATCATAGCATAATAAAATGCGGCTAAGGCTGCCAGTCAACTCAACAATGATGAGCTGAAGAGACTTGAACTTTTGGTTGGGAAATTCAAGTACAAACGGAATGGTTGCAATCATCTAAGACTGTGTGCCACTTTGCTGCAATCTATTCCAAGTTGAATATGAAGAAATGATTTTTTTGATTGGCCTGTTAATTTTTTTATCTCCCTCTTCACCCATACTTTGCCTGCCAAACCTTCATCTATGGGCTATGAGGGAGATCCTCCAAAACCATACACCCATAAAACCCATAGTTTTAGGCTTCCATAGAATGGTATGGGTTTGGAGGGAGTTGACTGTACTCGTGACTGTTTGTCCCGATTCCAGTGAGTCGATCAGTGGGAATGAGATGTGACATGGGATGTGACAGATTCAGATCGATTGAATCATCAACCACCATCACACCAAGTCATCCTCATCTCATTTCACCTTCGACCTCAACCTTCCACCTCAAAGTCAAACCAAATAATCTATCCAATTTCAAAAACCATGTCAAGCCATCCTGTCTCTGGTCCTTCAACTGTCACTGGATCTCGTAGACAATTATCATTAGAATCAGAAATCAATCAAAGAAGAAATACACCACCAAACCAATTGAAACGTCAAAGTACTTCAACCAACTCAACCCCAAGTGCATCAGACTTTTATATTCCTTCTTTACCTGGTCAACCATCATCTTCATCATTAGTTTTATACGGAGGTCATTTATCATTTTCTCCATTAGGATCAGATATATCACCCGAATCTAAAGATGAATCATATGGATTTTTTTTCTTAAATAGAGCAAGACATATTGCCAATAAACCTATTTTGATGGTCTGGTTGAATGGTGGTCCGGGTTGTTCTTCATTTGATGGTGCGATTATGGAATTAGGTCCTTTAAGAATGGTATTGAAAGGTGATGGTCAATTAAAAGAAGTAGATGGTGCTTGGAATGAATATGTTAATATGTTATTCATCGATCAACCTACTGGTACGGGTTATAGTGTCGGAAATGAATCAACTTGGCCACATGAATTAGATGTTTCTTCTGATCATTTAATTAATTTACTTTTGAGATTTTTTGCTATCTTTCCTGAGTTTCAAAAAATGGACCTTTACCTTGGAGGAGAAAGTTTTGCAGGTCAATACATACCTTATCTCGGTGAGTGTGTGGCTATTCATTCATTCTCATTCATTCTCATGATACTTGTCTCATCTCATACTGATAATTGCATTTTCTACAGCTGATGCAATTCTAAAAAAGTCGTCATTTCAAGCCCCTCTTAAGGGTATCCTCATTGGTAATGGTTGGGTGGATCCGGTTGCACAGTATCTTGGTTATCACGAATTTGCCTTTCAAGCAGGTCTAATTGCCCAGTCTTCACCCGCCGCTAAGACTGTGATGACCGCCGTTGAACAATGTAATCGGACCATCAACGAGATGGGTATAGACAAGGTACCAATCCACATTCAAGCTTGTGAGGGCATTCTGAGCGCGATCACCGATTCAACAGTCCAAACGTAAGCCTTCTCTACTACGTTTGTTCCAAATATGATCTGAGTACAGACAAAGGAATCATCCAAACTGATCACATCTTCCTCTGTTTATGAATCATAGAGTAAATTCACAGAAAATGTGTTTAAACATGTACGATATCCGATTAGTAGACACATATCCAGCATGTGGAATGACATGGCCACCAGATTTAGCCGATATGAAACCATATTTATCTAGAAAGGATGTTAAAAAAGCTTTTCATGCAGATCGGAAAATAGATGATTGGGTTGAATGTAATGGTAGAGTAGGATCTAGTTTTTGGACTAGATCTTCTCGTCCTTCAGTTACTTTACTTCCTGGTTTACTTGAACGTTTGGAAGTTTTGTTATTTTCAGGTGATCAAGATTTGTGAGTTGATTCCTTTAATTATATGTTTCATCATCATTTATGCTATCTTAAAATCATTTCTTTTTGTAATTCGAATTTAAAGAATTTGTTGTCATACAGGTACTGAAAAGATGATTGATAGTTTAACTTGGAATGGTCATAAAGGATGGACAGTTTGAGTTGCTCTCTTATTCTTTCCATTTATATCATATCTTTCAAATATTGACTTTTTTTTGTTTTCAGTCAAATTCTGAGTTACAAGAATGGAAAGTTAATGGTACACATGCAGGTCAATGGCGTCAGGATCGTAATTTGACTTATGCTCTTATAGCTAATGGCGTTAGTCCTCATGTTCCGATCATCACTTTGAAAAATATGGTACTTACGAAGACCTTTTGTTGATCTTATAGTCTCATATGGCCCCGTATGATGTTCCGTTCGTAGCCCAAGATATGATGTAAGATGAGATTTTGAACGAATTTGACGCGTTGATCCAAAGTCCACGTGTGATCTGTCCGCTGACTCTGTTATTTGGAACATTTGTAAATCATAGTTTAAGGTTTCTCCATCTAGATGTTTTAGATGCAGCTGGTCCAGCCGCCGACGTTTCAAGTGGAATAGGAAAAGAACCCGAAACAGTGCTACATCGAGTACATTTAAACAATACATTATTAGAAACCACTCCATCTTCTGCTTCATTACCGCCATCTATACCCAATACACTTGGAAGTACAACAACCGATTCGAATTATTATAATGCTTCATCTGCAGGGATTATAATAGTGATGTTAGGAGGTGCATTAGGATTGTTATTTTTGTGGAGAAGGAAGTTAAGAAGATCTGGTACAGGAGATTTTGCTCAAAGATCTGGACCTGAAATTACAATTCATGATGATTATTCTTCTCATCATCTTCAAGAGAATGAAGGAGGAGGAAATGGAGTCAAGTTTATGAGAGTTCCTTCACATGATAATTTGAATGAAGGAAATGAAAGGAATGTTAAACACGAGGATGATGATGAACACGAACTTGATGAACTTGTGGTGGATAGGAAGTCGAAAAAGAATGGTGGTGATTATTATGATACGATTGATCATGAAGGCAAAATTCGATGATGTGATAATTTTGTAAAGATTCTTTGAGGAAAAAAGTACAGATAAGAAAGTGATGAATTTCAAATAGAACAATTTCTTTTACCTAATTTTCTCTTGAGCTTGTTTGATTATTTTCTCTTCCTTTTCCGTTTTTTTTTGATGTGATAACAAATTTAATTATTGTTTTGTTGTTATTTATTGAATTTATGCAAACCCTTTTCTTTTTCTCATTCAAAGATTTGTTTTTATACATTTTTTATCTTTTTCTTTGAATTAAAAATAGCAAGTTCTGAAATTAAGAGATGAAAGAAATCAATTAGAAAGAACGACCATGCTTCGATTGTTTTCAGATGAGCAAGTGTTGGTAAGTATAAGATAAGGATCATGAAGACCAACTTGACCATTCAACTCTCTAGGGTTTTCTTTATCATCTTGCTCAGTTTTTACATAGCATATCAATTGGATTTGTGATGAAAGTGTATCGGCATAAGATCATTATCTAAACGCAAGATTGCATCAATTCGCACAATTTCTAGATAACAAGGTTTCATTAACTATTCATGTACGATCAGTATCACAGAATGAAATCATCCTTGATAGACATTTTCAATCTGGACAATTTGGAATTCAGGAAGCGATAAGACACTCGGATCAAAGCAGTCATTATTCAATTTGAACAAAGATCATGGTGACATCAAGAAAACTGAGATCTGTGATGATTTCCAACACCTGAGCATCTATTGTGGCATGCCATCAAAAGGCTTTAGATAAACAACAATTTGATAGATTAGATCGTGAATCAATATGAACAATCTTATTCAATAGAGGAAAGCTTACCTTCTCCAATTTTTGGGTAAGGAAAGGTAATTTATCTTGGCAGTAAATTTCCAACTGATAATCGAATGAGACAAATCAAATTCAAAGATGGATTTAGTAACGTAAAGTAAAAAATGAGGTCTTTATAGGAGACTCAACAGTTGGTTTTAATCCTTGTTTGATCTCCTTGGTCAAACAACCAGCTTTAACAGCAGTGATTTCTAATTTTAATGAAACATATTAAACCGTTAGTCCTGATAAGATCCAATTTGTATGGAAAGATTCAAAACAGCTTACCAGGAGCCGCATCTGGTTGATGGGCAATAGGAGAACCGCAGTCTGACTATGACACGAAAGTCGACGAGAACTTCGAATTAGTGGGATAATATTTCAATTCGAGAAGCGATACAAGATTTGATAGGTGAACTTACGCAAAAGAGACGAGCTACATCCTTTCCACTGTCTCCTTTCTTCTTGTAAGTTTTGACTGGTCCTTTGATAGTGAGTTTATCAGTAGGAACGATAGCTACTAAGGAGAAAGCTATTTTGAAGATTTTATTGCCGTCAGTTGTCTCGATCATGATGATAAGACATGGTGAAGGAAAAATAAGCTTTACCACTACCGGTTTGTCGTTGACAAGCATCGCAATGATCGTCTATGAATTGAACAAATTCATTGTGGAATCATTAACCATCAAGAAAACATAAGAATCAAAAGTCAGATATGAGATAATCTGATAGATAAAGATGTATAGAAAAGGATAACAGATGGAGGAAGACTAACATCCTACCGCGTCGGGTTTCTCAACAGCGATTTCAAAGCTAGATTCATTGGAAAAGGATTCATGAACGAACTTTGAATGACGACATGAATGGTCAACTTCGCGTGATTTTTATGATACTTACGTGGTTTTACCACATAGACCTACAGATTGAGCCCATTTTCAATTGAAAAGGAGAAAGAGAACAGAGGTTAGTGACTGTTAAATAAAGGGTTTGTAAACAAAACAACTAACAATGTCCAGAGAGAGTCATGATGAGAGTTTTGTTTTGTTTTGTTTTACTATGATAATAAGATGTTGAAGGTTGGCGAATGATCCTGACCATTCGAGAGGCAGAATCTAGAGTTTATATAGAATTGGAAAGGTAAAGAGTGACGTCATAGCACTGCTACATTCAAGGTTTTAGACTATGATGTGGACTCAGGGTTGGTGTTCTGAATTTCGGTGATATACGCTGATATACGTCGTAAAAGAGAGGCCAAGGAGGCAAACTCAGCAAGACTGTTCAAAGATGAACTTTCATGAGACAATTCTTTGGCAATTTGAAATTTGGGCCCGAAAAGATCGCTAGACCACAAAACTTCACGTCTCAACCGGCCGATTGCAGTTCTGGAATGCTCTCATTCAGAGCATTACATGCATATCTTGTTTTTTAAAAAACGATAAATACATATCAAGATGGCATCTTTTTTCATAAAAACTCTTTGAAAGCATTCCATGCAGATCTCCATTAAAGAAAAACAATGATTCTTTTTTTTCATAAAAACGCCCTCATATACTATTTCATTTAGTAATTAACATTGTTTTTAACATAATGAGTTGAGGTGGAATGCAAATTGCATTTGTGTTTCAAGCTTGGAGGCTTGTGCAACAAAAAAAACAAGGATAAATGGTAGTTTACCCCAAGCTTGCGACGGTAAAATATAGTCCAATGCGACGGGTATGACCAGGGACGGGTAGAGATGAGACCCGGGGTAATCTCGGGTCTCGCAACCACAGAAGTGGTGGTGCCTCAAAGAAGAATTTGGAAGGAGAAAAAGTTTTTCACCTCCCGCACTCCTCTTCATAGTTGCTCTCTACTTGTCGCTGCTCACATTTCATTAGTAATACAATAGCTCACTATAGTATTACGAGATTTCTTTTCTTTAAAAGCATTTAGAAAATTATTTAGACAATCATATAAACTCCAAAAAAAAAAGAGAGATATCTTAATCGAATGAATAAAACTCAAAAAGAAAAACTTTTAACCAAGAAGATTCAAAGAAACGAGATGGTGTCTACGTCGAAACAACAAGAAGAGAAGAAAGCAGTGAAGTTAACAAAAGAACAGGAGCAAGCAGAAGAGAGGCAACAGAGAGCACAATCACGCTTACCGAAGTCAGGAGAAGAACAGGGGCAACAAGAAGCTCAAGAAGGTGACCAAGGCTCTCAAGAGCATCGTAGTGAGCGAGACGAAGACAGTGATGGTGAAGAATCCGACACGGAAGATGTGAAGCCTCTCGAAGTTAAGTTGAAAGAATTGGAGGAGATGGAGAGAAGGAAGGAGGAAGAAAACGTCAGCAGGAAGAAATGAGGAAAGGGAAGGAGGTAACTTGTGAGATGGATGGCGTACCTCTAGATGGTGTGTTACAGTGTCCGATAAAGTTCCCTTTTCCCTTCCCTATCTTTCCCTACCTTTTTATCTCTGAGGAACTCTCTGAAGAGTTTGTCAACGGCGAGATTGTTCTGGGCTGCTGTTAAGCGCCTGATTGGAATGTAGGCCGGTGACTAGATGCAGGCTGCTGTAGCGCCGTAAGACATAGCTGGGAATGCTGGCTGCTGTAGCGCCGTAAGACATGACTGAGTTCCCATGGTCGAGGGCAGCAAATCGCCTGATGAAGACTGGGAGAAAAGTGCCCCAGGGTCAGCAATGTTGTTGCAGCTAGAAGCGCACGAGAAACATCTTGGACAAACCTAGAATACTTTCCTAGAGATAAGAATTTGCTAATCTCAGAAGAGAACATGTCCAAAGATGCAGTCTGATCCACACGTGGCAGAGCTCGGATGACTCAGTTCAGCAATAACCTGGTAGAGATACACAGGGGCCAAAATAGATACTCACATACATGTGAGCGTTGTAGACTTTTTGGAATTCTCCAAAAAAGATTTGTTTTCTTTCAGATTGATTCAATTCAAAATCTTGGTTGTGTTCCGGTGATCAGCCTGTGGTGGTCATATTTTACTTGACATTTGTTGAGACGGCTCATTTCCATCTTGGATGAGCAATATCTGATTTCCGATGAGTACTCAGGATCAGCTCATGGGTCACTGAATACTCAGCAATTTGTTCAAAATGAAGATGAGCACATGAACTATACCTTCCTGAGGCTTCATTTTTCAGTGAAGAAGCCTGCACAGGGGCGTCCCATTTGAGCTGCTCAGCAAATACTGAGTAGCATCCCCTGACTGGATCACTGATGGGCCAGACTTCCCTCAGACTTCCTTGCTAAGGAATGAATCCTGATAAAAGTGCCATCCCATCTGCTCAGTTTATCTCAGTTGCTCAGCTAATCCTCAGTGATATCCCCGGATAAAGTTTTTCACACTGAGGGGCTGAGATCAACTGAGCAGCCCCTCAGCCAATACTCAGTGACATCCTTTGGATCCTTCTGATCCGGTTAGGAATGCCCCTGAGGACTAGCTGAGCAGCTGAGCAGAACTGAGCAGCCCCTCAGCCAATGAGCAGTGAGTTCCCCCGGGGCCTTCTGATCTCAGGAATGCCCCTGAGGAATAGCTGAGAAGCTCAGTTGAGCAAGCAGACGGGCCTCAGGCTTCATTCCGGAGCCATGAAGCTTGAGGCAAGCTTGGTGTGAGGGCTGGGTGCTCTTTGTAGGAGTACTCAGTGCTCACTGAAGGGTAGAATGGTAGGTTTATTAAATTTACCTTCTTTATTTCAACTATGTAGTAGTTACAAATTGAAGTAAAGAAGGAAAATTAAAGAGAAGAAAGGAACTGACTGTCTGTTTGGACAAATCCAGACAGACTTCAGTTAATTGACTCCTAAGAAGGAGATTCAGTAACTATAATATGTTGTTTATTATAATATATGAAGGTTGGATCCTGGACCTTCCTTTAATCTTTTATAGTAACAGATCAAAGAGTGAGTTAGTTCACCAATCTGGTTGTCCTTAAAGTCACCAACTTGGGGTTATTCTTAAGGTCACCAGCCTGAAGTTCTTCTTAAGGTCACTAGCCTGGAGTTGTTGGAGGTCACTAGCCTTGATTGGGTTTCTACTTAGGGGAAGTAGAGGATCCAGAGGGAAATGAAGAATTGTATTACCTACTTTTAATCAGGGATCTGATTAAAGTTGATGAAGCTTATCACTAGTCTTATTTGTATAAGACTCTTGATATTTTACTTCAGTGAACTTTAATTGTTCTTTAAAAGTAGTGGGTAATAATTGCTTGGGGGATTCTCTGAAGGCTGAGAGAGGAGGGGTTTATATACTCTCCTCTCCAAACCTAACTGTAGTGACATTTGTTATTATCACTACATTGGTTCAGGGTTAGTTATTAACATGTAGTCATGATTGTTACTAGTAATGCTTAATTACATATACTTCTTGTGTGTGGTATGTAATATAAGCATTTAACTCTTGACACTGAGTTATGAGGTGTAAATGGTGTTTTGTTACATATTACATGTTGTTTTACAGGTTCATGTATATGTAATAAAGGTTTTGATACATTGTATTACATGTTACATACAGTCTATGCTCAGTATGTAACATGTAGTTAATCTTATACATATGTTTTTTACTGTTACAGGTTAGTTTTGGGTACATGTATATGTACTCAGGGCTGACATTCCCCACCCTCAAAGGAGGTCATTACTTCTTTTCAGAAGGTTTATGAGCTCTTTTTTGTGCTCTGAAGTCTCGCAAGTTTGTCTTGCCGTTGGGTACTTTATCTGCTGGCAGCCATTCATCTTCATCTGCACTCCTATTTTTGTACCTTACAAGATAGAGAGTTGTAGATTTACCATTAACTTGTGTTTCTCTTTGTTTTATTATATGTGAGAAAACTTTTTCTCCATTAGTTTCAAACCTGATTGGAGTTTTCTTGGGTATTTCCCTGTCAGGGAATTTGCTTTTATCTGAAGCGTGAAATTTCTTGATTAATGAAATTGGGAAAACTGGGTGTTTTCTCCCAAACTCCTCAGTTAATGCTACTTCCACTGCATTGCTACCATGAAATTTCAATATTATAAAAGGTCCTACAAACTGGTCTTGAAGTTTCTTTGGACCTTGCAGATTAGTAAAATTTGTAGTGGAGAGTAGTACTTGTTCTCCTACTACAAACTTAGGTTCTTTGTGAGTTTTATTCCATCTTTCTTGATTATAAGTCACAGCATCTTCAATACATTGGGCTGCTCTGGCCCGTGCTTTACCTAGCATGTCAAAGAAACTCATAGAAGTTGGATGAAATTCAACATTCTTGTTTTTGATTTGGTCCTTTGGCAATCTTGGACAACAACCTCTTTCTACTTCAAAAGGTTTCTTTCCTGTTGTGCTATTATTATATGCTAATTCTAGAGCTGGTAATAGGGTATGCCAGTCATGTGTGTGTCCATTATTATCTGTGTAAGAAAGTCCTTCAGTGCAATACCTTCTAATGATTTCTGTCAAGGTACTGATGTTTCTTTCACTTAGGCCATCAGTCTGTGGGTGGTATGCTGTGGAAAGGGCTAGTGTTGTTCCAATGAGCGTATGGAGGCTTTTCCAAAATTCAGATGTAAATTTTGGGTCCCTGTCACTGATGATTATTCGTGGTAATCCTACGTTGTAGAACTCCTACGCTGTGTGGCGTAGGCTGAGCCGGAGAGGGGAAGAATCACCGCGCAGAAGAATAACCACGCGGATGAAACTATGATTTTCGTAGACTGCCCTCAACCTTGGAATAAAAAGTTCAAAAATAAAAAAATAACACAGACGCAATTCTCTAACAATTTTATATCTTCACAATTATAACCCGCAACCCTATTCTAATATTTCTGAAAGATCCACAAGAACTGGCGGAGTACAATGATATTCCACACAACCCTACACAAGGTTGTGATGTAAAGCTAAGTTGAATTCTAGTTCTATTGTAATTCTTACTACGTGTAATAGAAAAAAATAAAAAATAGTTTTGATATTTGAACAAAATAACACCTAGATAACTTATGAGGTAGAGAGAGAGAAACTTGAGACAATAAAATTTTCTAACACTAAGTATGAGTGTTAGAGGAACCACACTAAAAAAATAAAAAATTCCAAAAAAGAAACTGCCTAAGGCCTATAAGGGGTTTGAACCCAGGATCAGATTTGGCCCTGAGTAAAACCTTTCACGTATTGTGAAATGTAGCAAAATAAAACTAATAAAAATAAAATAAAATAATAAAGCACTATTCAATTCTTTACTCAACTCAGCAACCACCAATCCAATGCTTCAAGGTACTAAGAAGGTCAAGAACACCAACTTAAACAACTTTAAGATAACTAAGATCAACAAATCACACTTCAAAGCTTCAAGAAAGATCACTCTAACTAATTTTAACTATCTTAAAAAACCTATCAATAATATGCTTCACACTTTTAAAACGAATAACTCAAAAACTCTTATATTTCTTAAAACGACTAATCCTTTCTTTCTTTTTTTTTAGATGAATCACAAAAAAAGAAAAACACACAAAAAAAAACCCCCCCCTTTTACTTCATTTCCTTGATCCCACCTCTTTACTTCGATCACGCTCAACCCGGCTCAAATCTCGTCAAGCCTTTCTCATCCGATTTTCAATTAAGTTCCCATTTAATTCAAGTGAGTATCACATTCTTCTTGCTCATCCTTTTCCTTATCACTAACTAACTTGCCTTAATCCCTTCCTGTCCACACCTGAGTATTGCTTCCATCCTGATCACCTCACTTCAATTTCCTCCCCACCTCTTTACTTCGATCCAATCTTATTACCTAGTTTTAATCAACAAGTCCTTCACCAATTGATCGATTCCTTCCTCCCCTATGCAATCTTCATCTCGATCTTCACTTCCTCGATTTGAAGGTAAGTTCAATTTCTCTTCTCTTCTTCTACACTATCTCATACTTGGCCTTTGTCATTTTAAATTTCAATCATGACCTCTTATCATTTTCGATTTTAGGGTCTTTAAGTAAGTAAGTTCAAATCATTTTGTTTGTCCTTGTTTCCTGACTTTATCAACTTTGTTTTGATGTTGATTCCCTTCTCATCTCACACCTAGGTAACTAATCAACCCATCTTCACTCGGTCCGATCGATCTATATTTCGATCTCATCCCCTGATCACCTCAACTTTCTCCTACCACCCTCATTTAAAAGCTACATTTGAGCTATCAACTTTGACTTTTTTATTGATTCTCAATTCAATCTCTAAATCTTCTTCTCATCAATCTCGTCCTAAATTCAGTCCACTCATTCAATTCTTATCTACTTTATCATTAATCGATGATCATCTTTTCCTCTCCATCAAAACCAAGTCAACTTATCAAACCACTAGACACTCTATTAAACTTGATAGACTCTACTCAACCTCATCTCAATTTGAATATCGATTGATCTCCATCACGCTATCGATTTCAATTTTGATCTTGTTTGTCTCGGTCCACTTATAATTTATTTCGAGGTACGTGCTTTTTTATTAATTTCGTTTTCTGATCTGTAGTACTGATACTGATTCTTATCACTTCCTTGTTCTCGACTGCCTCAATATTGACTTCTATCCCCTTTTTTTAACTTCTCTTCTCCTTCTCACATCATCCTTTTCTTTCTAAACTCTCCCCACTCGCTCTTGATTTGAACTCTTATTAGTACTGAGGTTCTTGTTTCCTAGTTTATTACTTTTCCATCCAACTTTCATTCATTCAGCTCTCTTTATATTAACTTAACTTGTAATTTAAATAACATGTGATTTCTTTGAACTAGCTAATATAATATATGTTCAATCATGAACCTAATGAACCTTGAGAGGACCCCCCTTGCACTCGGATGAATGTGAGTAAACTAAAAAAATCTATGCCTTGCTTGATAAAAGAGAGCAAAGTTGGGATGGATTCTGCTCTCCACAACGTCACTTATTATTCTTTCCCAGAATAGTAAAGCAATATCCATGGCTGTTGCTTCCTTGTAGCATGGCAAAAATCTTGTTCTTTTTGAGAATCTGTCTACAATCACCAACACACAGTTGTAATTGTTAATCAATGATGGTGGCAGACCAGTAACAAAATCCATGTTGATGACTTCCCAGGCATATGTTGGTTCTTCTATTCTTTGAAGTAAACCAAATCTTTTACCTGTGGCTTTGTTTGCTTTTTGGCATCTTTCACAAGTCTTCACGTATTCTTCAACATCTTGTCTCCAATTTGGCCACCAAGCTGTACTCTTGATTCTGTCTACTGTCCGGTCCTCAGACAGATGTCCTGACATAAATTCATCGTGACATACATGTAAGGTTTGTTGAATATGTTCTGTAGTTATTATTACTAAAACTGCAGTATGTTTCTCTCGGAAATAAAGTAGGTCAGATTCAAGAGAAATCTTGCCTTGGGCTAGTCCGTCTTTCCAAGGCTGCTCAAGTGTGCTTGATAGGCTCAAATCATTGTTCCGTGCTGACAATATTCTGGTAAGTTTGGCTGTGTTACTATTTTTTTCATAGCCAGCTTTTACTTCATCAAAGAATTCCTCAGATAATTCACATAAACTAATCCCCATCACAGGGATATCTCTTTCCATTTCTTCTGGTTCCCATGCTGGGTTACTGGAGTCATTTGGCAATGCCATTCTACTAAGCCCATCTGCATTGTTGTGAAATTTTCCAGGTCTATGAGTAATTGTCATGAATGGGTTATACTCTTGTATTGCCATCATCCATCTCAACATGTGTCTGCTGGGAGATTTGAGATTTGTTAAAGATCTTACTCCAGTACAGTCTGTTATGACTTCAAAGTAGCTACCATCAAGGTAATAATGTAATTTTTCTAATGCCCAAACTAGTGCTAAGGCTTCTAGTTGTGGTGAAGAGTATCTGCTTTCCGTGTCCGTTAATTTTCTAGATATAAAAACTATTGGTCCTTCTTTTGGTTTGCCCTCAATTATTTGTATCTGATGGAGTGCTGCTCCTAATCCTTCAATTGATGCATCTACGTATAGTTTGAAAGGTTTTTCAAAGTCAGGATGAAATAAGATTGGTGCCGTTGTAAGTATCTGTTTTATTTTATTCACCGCCTCAATTCTTTCTTTTGTCATTTCAAAGACAACACCTTTAGCGTAAAGCTTGTAGAGGCTACGAGTAATGATCCCAAAGTTTGGAATGTGAGCTCTGTAATAGCTTGTAAAACCTGAAAATGAACTGAGTTCTTGTTTATCTTTTGGACAAGGTTTATTTAAGACTGCTGCTACAGAGTTTTGGTCTACTGCTACCCATAGTCCTGATACACGATGACCTAGGGCTTTACATTCTTCAAAACCAAAATGGCATTTCTTCAAAGATATAGTCATACCCATGGCTTTAGCTCTTAGTAATACTTTCTCCATTGCTTCTAGATGCTCTTCCCATGTAGTATGAAAAACTATTATGTCATCAATATAGACTTTGAGCCATCCTTCTCTCAATTCTTTTGAAAACTCCGTGTCCACCATTCTTTGAAAGAAAGCTGGAGCATTTTTTATTCCAAAAGGCATCCTGATATATTCAAATATTCCTAAATGGCAAATGATCCTGAGATACTTCCTGCTACATATTTCCACAATGTTCTGATGGAACCCTTTCATTATATCCATCAGAGTGATATGTTTTGCATTGAATAGGTTAGTCAAGGATTGATCTATTCTTGGCAGAGGATATCTGTCAGGCTTGGTGTATTGATTGAGAGCACGGAAATCTCCACAGAGTCTGGATTTATCATTATGCCATGCTATCAGAACAGGTGATGTTATATCAACTTCTTCATCACTACCTACTTTTTGTATTACACCCATACTAAGTAGTTCTTCAATATGTTTTTCTATTTCTTTCCTACTTCTTGGGCTAGCTGGATACGCGCCTTTCCTTAAAATAGGAGGGTAAGGTTTATCTATTGTAAGTTCTATTTTGACTGGATGGTTTTTAATGACTCCTAGAGGTTGTTTTCCCAAACCAAATTGATCTTTGTATTTAATTACCATCTGAATTATATCTTCTTTTTGACTGTGAGTAAGATTGGGTCCAAACTCAGCTTCTAATATTTTTTCTCTAAGTTGTTTTATATTTTCATTTTTTGGAGATTCCATTGTAATCTCTGGTTTAATTGATAGAATTTCTTTATGCTGCATTAAAGCAAACTTAATGCTTTTGTTATTATTTCCTATAGTAAAATACCTTTCTTTACTATGAAATATGTCAAACCCATATTGGCTCAAGTTTTCTGCTCCTAATATCAACAATGGACCAGCTGCGCTTTTTTGCGCTTTGGGCCTGGCAGCTGGAGCGCAGCTGAAATACGCTGCGAGAATTTTCAATTTGCTGCAGCGCAGCTTTTAAACGCTGTGTTCCAAGGCGCAGCGCAGCATTTACATGCCTCATTCTGAAACTCCAAGCTGCAGCGCAGCGCCCTGAAACGACCGCTGCAGCTTTTCAGCGCGCTGCAGTTGCTTACCTCATCAGAGAGTCACAAAACACAAAAAAAATTATTATTGCAATTTGAAACCAAAGATGCAAAAAACATCATAAATAGTCTTTTTCTCAAACACAAACAGAAGCAAAAGCAAAAGATAGAAAACAGGTTTTTCTAAAAATGGTGAACAAAATCGCAAAAAAGAAGTTCATTTTTTCATGGTAAACAAAGATAGAAAAACACATCGACAAAAGGGACCCTTGGGAGTCTTATACTCTAGATTACGAATTCAAAAAAATTGGTTCACCTAAGCAAATCTTCTGATCAACTTGATGCTGAAGCCGTAACCCTTTCCTATCCAAAGATCTGCCTCTACTTCTGACATCACCATCACCAAACTGGTGATCCAATAGATCTTCATCATTAGTAGTAGAAAGAGAAGGATAAACCAAAGATAAAATATGTTGTGAAGGTTTTTGATTATGATTTTGATGTGGATTAGGTTTACATAAGAATTGATTTGATAAAGATCTTGCAAATCCAGTCAAATTGTATGAATGAATTGGATGAATCAAGTCGATCCTTGATTTTCCAGTTTCTATTTCAATTAGATGATGATGATCATGATCATGTTGGATCGATTGGATAGTTTTGTTTGATGATATGTTGATTAGTATTACTTAGATAATGATGGCTTCTTTTTTTGATTCTGCTTTACTTGATGATGATTTTGATGGGGTTTGATCTTTCAAATATGATAAACATGTCAGAAGTTCCAGAATCGAGTTAGATGGCTTCAATCAGTGGGTTGAAAAGTAGAGAGTCAATTGAGGATGATTCTTGTGAACTTTTTTGACTGTGTTGTGAGTCTGATTTTGCTTTTTCAAGATTTGAATGTCATTCAAGATTCACCCAATTGTTCAAGTTGATAGTCTTGACTTGGAGAAGTTTATATAAGTTGATGATGGTGTTTGGATTGATTGAGAAAGCAATAAAAATTGAAATCCGACTTGCAAACTGACTGCTTTGAGTCATAGATGGCAAAGAGAAGATTGTGACTTGATTGTTTGGTCCAACAGTCACACGTAGTCCTGAATTTATCGGACCTTGAGCGACAGTCAATAGCTTGATTTGAATCAAATGACCTTTGCATGGTTCCTAAGTTGCACACCAAGAGTAAGATAATCGAATTTCATGTGATTGATGTGTATGCTTCAAACGATTTGAATGTTGTTGAAGAAGTTGGTAAAGTTGAATCTTGATTTTGATCATAAAGCATAGTCAATGAAACTCTTGATGCTGTTGATTGCTGAGCTGGAATTTCAAGTTTGGACTCTTTACCACAATTACCCGCTGACACGCTTTTTAGCGGGTCAGCGGTCCGAAGCGCAGCTTGTGCAGCGGTTGGGGCCAGCTGCACAGCTGGAGCGCAGCGGGCCAAAACAATTGGCTTTTGGCTGGTCCGTCAGCGCAGCTCACTTGAGCTGCGCTTCTGGGCCTCAGAAGCGCGGCGGCCCGGCGCTGCGCAGCAGCTGGCAGCGGCTGCCTGCAGCGCAACTGGTCCAACATTGCTAATATGAAGTACTTGTTGTTTGCGTTCTCCATTACTACAAATTCAGCATTTATTCTAATTGATTGTTTAACATGTGGGAATATCACAGGTAAGCTGATTACGCCTAAAGCATGCAGTTTACTACCAACTCCGGAGAATTTCACGTGACTACTGGGCATGATTCTTTCTTGCCAGTCTGGTATTATTTCAGACAAAAAATGTTTTCCTACAATTGAGCATGATGCTCCGCTGTCTAGTAGCATTGGTACTTTGCAATTATTTACTAATGCTCGAGCCATTGTATGGTGTCCTAGTGTATGTGCCATTCCATCTGCTGGTTTAGATTTTAGTAATCTGGCATCAATTGTGTTTCCCATTTGCATGTCATCCTGCCAGGAATGAGGTACATTTGCTTCTGCTTGCAGTATGTTGATGTCCTTCTCATCACTTTCAAGAGTCTCAATCATGCACACATCTTGTTGTTGATGAGTGTTTTCCCCTTCACTATCCGAAGTTGATTCATCTGATAATTTTCCGCCTTGAAAATCATATTCATCATTTGTTAGAACTGTCAGAGCAGGGAGAGATAAAGTTCAGAACTGAACCTATGAACTATCTCAAATCCCACGAATAGAGTACACACCTGTCAGAGCAGGGAGAGATAAAGTTCAGAACTGAACCTATGAACTATCTCAAATCCCACGAATAGAGTACACACCTATCACCCAAGAATGATTAAGAAGATCTTGGATCAGCATTTAATTCCATCATACTGAATATAAATGAGAAAAAACACAAAGTTGAAAGCATGAGAAAACAAATTTAAGCTACATACCTGTCAGAGCAGGGAGAGATAAAGTTCAGAACTGAACCTATGAACTATCTCAAATCCCACAAATAGAGTACACACCTATCACCCAAGAATGATTAAGAAGATCTTGGATGAGGAAGGAAACTCTATTCGTTGCTCTTCGAGGTTATACATTATGATTCTAAGCGGTATATAGGTTAAGAATGATGATAACAAACAAAAAGATAACTGTTACAAACACGGTTACATATGCAATAATAATGTGAAATGAGATATGAAATATATAACACAAACAAGTTCAACTCGTGATATGTAAATGAAACATGATTGACACTTTTACTTTAACATCCCCCCTATTTCAAGATCATTTCTAACTCATATTATTTAATTTGAGAGCATGTTGAATGGCCTGAGGTCCTAAAGGTTTAGTTAAATGATCAGCTAACATTTCCTCGCTTGGAATGTGATGTATTTCTAATTGATTTGTTTGAATTAAGTCTCGTATATAATGATACCTTCTATCTATATGCTTGGATTTTGATTTCAGACTGTCCCCCGTTGCCGTGAAGATAGCTGAGGTGTTATCAATGAAGAATGGTGATGGTTGTTCAATTTGATGCATGATATCGAAATAGAACGATCGCACCCATGCCATGTGCTTTGAACACTCGGTGGACGCTAGGTATTCTGCTTCTGAGGTTGATAAGGCCACTACCGATTGCCTTTGAGATTTCCAACATACAGCTCCATTCAATACTTTGATAACGTAACCAGTGACTGACTTTCTAGTTATTGGGCATTGCGAGAAGTCCGAGTCTGAGTATGCTTCCGGTTGATCAGTCCCCCCAGAGTAAGTGATTGATAAATCTTGAGTTCCCTTTAAGTAACGTAAGACATGCTTTGCTGCCGTCCAATGAGAAACTGTCCATGCCGAATTGTATTTGGAAAGTTGAGAGACAGCATACGATATGTCCGGACGAGTACAAGAAGCGATCCACTGGAGGCACCCGACAAGTTCTTGATAGGGTATGTCTTTAGCTTCTTCAATTTCCTCTACGGTTCCAGGGCTTAAAGATGTTCGTTGAGGAAGCGGAGCTCTTGCAGCTTTGCAGTTTACCATGGTGAAACGTTCAAGGCAGGATTTGATGTAATGAGATTGTGAAATACTAATTCGAGATCCATCCTCGGCGATGTCAAGTTTGATACCAAGGTAAAGTGTAGGGTTCTCCGTCCATTTTAGTTTGTATTTGGAGTTGATGAAAGTTTGAAATTTGAAAAACAGTTCATCACTGTCACAGAAAACCAGTGAATCGTCCACGTGAAGATGCAAGATGAGCAGTCCTAAATCACACTTTAAAACATACACCGCCGAGTCTGACGAGATAGGGAAGATTTCAAAACCAGCTGTCGTGGCTCCAAAGTGTTGTTGCCATCTCCTCGCCGCCTGTTTTGTACCGTATAGGGATTTGATGAGGAGCCAAACTCGGTGACGTTGCGTTGGGTGCTCAAAACCGAGAACCTGACGTGCATAAACCAAATCCCTCATATCTCCATTTAAGAAGGCGGTTACGACATCAAATTGTCTAATTTTCATACGACGTGAGCGTCTGTTACCTTTGAACCTTGAGATTGATAAGGCCAAAAGAATTCGGAGTGAGTCGATTTTAGCCACGGATGCATATGTGTCATTGTAATCGATACCTTTGATTTGATGGTTACCGAGTACTACCCACCGAGCCTTGTAACGTACGACTCGATTGTATTCATCTCGTTTCTTGTTGAATATCCACATCCCCCCAAGGATATTGGCATCGGGTGGAGGATCTACCAGTTTTCCTACCGAGTGCTCCATTAATGAGTTGAATTCCTGTTCCATAGCATGCGTCCAGGCTTGTCTGTCGGGTCCGTTCATGGCTTGATAATAAGATGGACTATCCGGGTCCGTTCCAGTCGTGGCCGAAAATCCCCACCTGTCCGGTATGATTGTTTTCTTTCCGGTGATGATCATCGGTCCAAAAGACGAAGTGGTGGCGACTGATGTTGAAGGAAAGCCATAACGCTGAGGTGCGGCCCGTGATCGAGTGGATTTGCAAACAGGCGCTACTGATGCCTGTGGTTGAGGTACCGGTTGAGGAACAGGGGCTGGAGCAGGACTTGGAACCCTTGTAGGTGAAGGAGGAGGGGTCGGTTCTGCTGGTGGTTCTATTTCAGATGGTGGCGTAGGTCCTGGTGATGATGCAGAAGCCTCGGGTCTGGATGAAACAAGAACAGGAGAAACAGGGGATAGAGGTTATGAATCTCCCGACTTAGGTAGATGTTCCCGATCAGGAATGTTAGAGTCAGGCAGAGAATCTTGATTTACAGATGATGCCGACGAGTGAATCGATGGATCTGATGGAGTATCCAAAACAACAGCATCACGATATGTCGCATGTCTGCGAGGTGGAGTTGTGTTGATCGACGGTTCAGGAACGACAGTTGGTGTTGACTTGTCCTGGGATTGTCGAGGAGAGTGGATGGAACCACTCAAGGGTATACGAACCTTAGGGTATTGTGGCGAAGGAGGTGTTGATGAATCCTCCTGTGATGGTTCAGGAATTGGATCTGAATTGTGAGTCACATCTGGTTGACGATGGATGATGGTATCTGAGTAGTTGGGGATAAGAAGTTCCTCCGGAACATTCGGAGACAGAGTCGGATGCTTCCCAGGAAAAATTTCCTCCCGGTACACAACATCACCGGTCACAAAGATTCGACCCGTCGACTTGTCCCACAGACGAGCAGCCCTGGCCCCCTCTTCAAGCCCTACAAAAATAAATCGTCGAGCCAGAGGACCCACTTTAGACTTCTGGGTGCGGTCCACTGCAAAGCATAGTGAACCAAAAGGCTTGAGTCGATCATAATCAAAAGGATGAACATGAGATGGGAGTAGTGATTGAAAAACCTCCATAGGAGATCGGTGCTGAAGAGCTGCATGAGGAGAGCAATTTATTTGAAGAGAAGAGTATTTAGCCAGTTCCCCCCAAAGATGTAGCGGGAGGCCTGATTCTATCAACTGGCTTCGTAGCCTTCCCAGGAGGGTGCGACCGAAACGCTCAGATACTGAATTCGCCATGGGACGCTCAGAAGGACCTCTCTCAACCTCGATGCCTTCTTGTTTGAGAAAATTCATGAATTGAGTTGAGGAGTACTCGCCACCGCGGTCTGATTTTAATTTAAGAATCTTACGACCACACTTCTTTTCCATCAATGTTTTGTATTGCTTGAAGGATTCAAAAGTGTCACTTTTAGATTTCAAAAGATAAATCGAACAGAAACGGGTATGATCATCAATAAATGTAACGATGTATTTAAATCCTGTCTTGGTCTGAGGATTGATTGGTCCTAGCAGATCGCTATGTACAACGTTAAGTAAATCCGGTGATCGATGAAATGAAGAGGTGGATGGAGATTGAGTAAGTTTCCCCAAAGCACAAGCGTCACAAGGCAGGAAATCTTTTCGAGATAAGGATATAGACTTAAATCGTCGGAGAAAGGAAATGACAGCATCAGGATGTAGATGCCCCAATCGCTTGTGCCACAGACCGGCAAGCTTTTGAGGATCAGTGTAGGAAAAGAAGGCATTGGTAGATATGATATTAAGTTCCGGAATCCATAATCTATTGGTTTGAGGATTCCGCCGCATTTTGAGAACTACCTTGCCATCCTGATCTGTAATGATTCCGAGATTTTTATCGAAGGAAGCCCGATAACCATCGTCGCATAATCGACCAATTGAAATTAAGTTACCAGTCAATTGTGGTGAATATAACACATCTCGAAGAGTAAGAGATCTGAACCTGACAGTGCCTTTGCTCTTTGCCCAAATCGCTCCGTCTTGTGCGGCTACCCCGATACGAGTTGGTTTAATGTGTTGAAGATCGGATAGAAGGGAAAGATCAGAGAACATATGGCTGGTCGCACCGGTATCGCAGATGATTGGATTCGTAGTACAAGTAGAAGTCGAGGCTGAGAATGCTTCTTCCCAGTAAGACACATCTTCATCCGCCTCAGGAGTAGATTGAGATAATTGAGCTGCATGAGATGTTGAAGGGTTCTTGGAGTTCTTCTCTTGTTCTAGAAACGCACGCCACTTTCGAGTACGACACTGTTCGTCATTGTGACCGGAATGTCCCAGCGAGAACTTGACATTCGATTGGGGTGGTGAGCGCACATTCTTCTGACCAGGTCGAGGTTTGGGATTGATTCGACTTTGTCCAGCAGATAGGGCAGTATCCGAATTTGAAGTATGAGAGTTTCGGGTAGCCTCGATCTTGAGCAAGGAGTATAGTCTAGTCAACGTGAGAGTTTCAAAATTTGAGAGAAGACTTTGGACCAAAGGGGTATAGTCAGAAGGAAGAGATTTGATAAGAATGATGGCGAAGAACGGTTCAGATATCTTGTTGTCTGGGGAAGATGATAGATTACTGAGCAAATCATTATGAAGTTTACGAAATTGATGGAGATGGTCAGATAAACTTTCATCGGGAGACATTTTTAAAGATATTAGATCAGAGAAAATGTGGGCGGTCGACAGTCCTCCGGCATCATCATGATGACTGCATAAAAGTTTGAAAGCTTCTCTTGGTGATGAGCATGATCGAATAACTTGGAAATTTTCGCTGTCAATAGTAGCATGGATCGCTGCCAAGGCTCGACTTGAGTTGGTTTCAAAATCATCTAATGCAGTTTCATCTGATTCATCTGGAGCTGTTAGATCTTTAAGGATATACTTTGATAATCTTTGTCCTCCTAAGATGGTGGTGAGTTTAAGCTTCCAATCATTGAATGTTCCAGTGGTTAACTTGGTGACATTCGAGTAAGAACTTATAGTGAATTCTTTCTGTTCAGAAATATTAGAGGTCATTTTAAATTTCTGATCGAAAGTAGGAAAAAGGATAGTGTATTGATCATTGATAGGTTGTGTATTATCTATTGGTGGGCGTTTTGAGTTAGTTGATTCGGGTTTAAGTTCTGATTTCAAATCTGTGGCGTCGATCGGATTCATTCGACGTGACTGTATTCGGGAATTAAGAAAGTTCGCTAGTGTTCTGTTGTGAACTGCTACAGTATGATGGAAAAATGATACCGCAGTCGCTTATAACGCTGGGCTCATAACCTGTTAGAACTGTCAGAGCAGGGAGAGATAAAGTTCAGAACTGAACCTATGAACTATCTCAAATCCCACGAATAGAGTACACACCTGTCAGAGCAGGGAGAGATAAAGTTCAGAACTGAACCTATGAACTATCTCAAATCCCACGAATAGAGTACACACCTATCACCCAAGAATGATTAAGAAGATCTTGGATCAGCATTTAATTCCATCATACTGAATATAAATGAGAAAAAACACAAAGTTGAAAGCATGAGAAAACAAATTTAAGCTACATACCTGTCAGAGCAGGGAGAGATAAAGTTCAGAACTGAACCTATGAACTATCTCAAATCCCACGAATAGAGTACACACCTATCACCCAAGAATGATTAAGAAGATCTTGGATGAGGAAGGAAACTCTATTCGTTGCTCTTCAAGGTTATACATTATGATTCTAAGTGGTATATAGGTTAAGAATGATGATAACAAACAAAAAGATAACTGTTACAAACACGGTTACATATGCAATAATAATGTGAAATGAGATATGAAATATATAACACAAACAAGTTCAACTCGTGATATGTAAATGAAACATGATTGACACTTTTACTTTAACATCATTCATATGATCACTATCTTCTTCATCTTCTTCGATCATATTAATTTTCTTATCTTTGCATCCTCTCCATTGATGTTTTGGATCTTTGTTTCCACAATTTGGGCATGCTCTGAAAGGTTTCTTTTCCGATGTGCTTGGCTGAACCTTTGTACTAGAGGGTCCTTGCATTTTATCACTATTGAAAGTAGCTTTAATTTCATTAAAAGGTCTCCTTGGCTTGTTCAAGTATTTTTTCTTATTAATTATACTAGTATTCTCATAAATGTCCTTGAATATTAGTAAGAAATTATCCCATTCATAGGGTGTGGTCAATTGACTTTTGATTGCAGTTCTGACATCACCGTCAACTTTGTTTAAGATTTTGTTTACAATTCTTTCCTCAGAAGATTCTGGATCAAAAGCTGCAATTCTTTTCTTTTGTTTCAAAGACCATGCTGTTGGATCTGCATGTACATTGGCGTCAAATTTGTCTTTCAAGAACAAATCTTCCATATTGTTTCTCCAAACATTATTACCAAACCTCTTATGGATTTCATCTTTCCACTCGTCCCATGTCATTGAGCCTTTGCTTTTACGCTTGTCTATGTACCACTGTCCTGCTGTTCCAGTGAAAGCTGTACTCAAGTGGCTCACCACAACAAGTGGGTCCATCTTCAGGTCTGTAATCAAGCTGTCACACCAATCAATATAATCATTATGATTATATTCTCCGTCGCCACTAAATCTTTTCCAATCTCTCCCTGTTGGCCAAAGTTTAGTTAAAGCTTTGGTTAACTTATCTTCTCGTGTAGTTTCAGACATGCACTGCCAGCATTAAAGAGGTTCCCAGATGGGAATATGGGTCCTAGTGATCAGATTCCCATCCTGCTACTGTTACACAGTTCCATGAATATTTCCTGAGTAGCCATTGTGATATATGTAGTCAATATTTTGAAATGTGTGTCTCATTATTCCTAAGTAGAGGTTCTACATAGTTCACCGTATTTTCTCTTGTGTTTGCTGCGTGTTGTCTAAATCTAGCTTCTCCTCTAAGTGAAGGGTCTACTCTAGGATTGTTTTCATGGTTGTTCTCCACTTGTTGGTGTACCACCGGTGGACTGGAAAAATTCCTTTGTGTGGAATTGTTATTACTTTGACTTGTTATTCCAGGTTTAAGTTCTTGAATAATTGATAACCTGGCACTGTTGGCATTATCATCCATTTTTATTAGCTGTTGTTGTATTTCAGTATTCTTTTGTAATATCCTGTTATTGAACATTTCTTGATTTTTCAACAGTTGGTCTGAAAAAACTCTAAATTGTTCTTCTTGTTGTTTCATAAATTCTTTTTGTAAATGTTCGTGGTTATCTTTTATGTTCTCCTGCAATGTGTGGTAGGATTTCAGCATGCTACTTTCAAATTGCTGTTGTTGTTGATTCAAATCCTCATGGATTTTTGTTGCTCTTGCTTCTTCTCTCAATTTATCAATTGTTGAATTTATTTGACTTTTGTGTTTCTCAAATTTATTGAATAATTCTTCAATTTTATTGTATGGGTCTTTGATTGGTAGTTTCAATTGTTTGTCTAATTTGACATCTAGTTGTTTGGTCACAATCTTTGTTTCTGCTAAATCACTTACAAGTGCATCACTTATTTCTCTGATACTTTCTTTATCTTCATTTCTATTTTGAGATATCTTAGTGATTACGTCTTGGAAGTTCTTTTCATAATTGCTAAATTTTAATGAGCTCTTTTTCTCATTGTCTGAAATCCTTGTGGCAATTTGACTGGCTAGGTTGGTTATTTGTTTGATCATGTTTTGTTGAGAAGCTGTTAGAGTTGCTTCTTCATGTCTCTTATTCAAAGTTTCTCTAATT